ATGCGGGTGAATTAGCAGGGCTGCCTGTGCAAGACTATCCTTCGATTTGCTAAACGCAACCTCTGCTTCTGGGGTCCACGCAATTGGTTGTTTCCCCTTAACGTTACCCTGGAGTAGATTGTTAAGAGGTGCTTGGGTGTCCGCCGCGCCAGGAATAAATCTGCGGTAGAAGTTGATCATCCCTTGGTACTGGCGTAGTTCCTTTGTGTGCGAAGGCCGAGGAAAATTGCGGATTGCGTCGACCTCCTCAGGGAGCGGACTGGTTCCTGCGCTCGTAACAAGGTAGCCGAGAAATTTGACCTGGCTTGCCCCGAACACACACTTGGAAGAATTGAGTACAACACCGTACTTGCTCAACCGCTCGAACAACTGGCGCAAGTGCTGATGGTGCTCTTCCTCGGACGTTGGACGGTCGAGCCATGCTGTTCTGCAACATGGCGTCAATCTCCCTGTTCGTTGCCTGAAGTTTGTCCGATGCGTTGGGCGGTAGGTGGACCTGGTGTCGTGAGGATGTGGTGAACGGTTTTGGGCGGCACGTTCCTTGTGTTGCACAAGGGGCGCGTGATTTGAATAAAGTCAGCCAGCAGCCCATGATATAGTGACGTACCAACAACTGTCTTTACACTTGGCGTACCGCACTTGTTTAACACGCCTTTCGTGAATAAATTGGTCTCTGCATCAATTAACCGCTGGTTCTCAAAGTTCACGATGATATCGATGTGGGACAGAAAATAGGCACCGATGATGGGTTTGTCAACGTCTGCGATTAGAAAGCGCCACACAAATTTTCGTCGGAGACACAAAACGTTCGGGCGCAGCGTTATACGTCCGTAGGTGGAAATCGCGGTTCCGTTCGCGGCGACTAATTCGTACGTGTACCTTTGAGTCTGTTTGGGTACATTACTCCGCGGGAAAACACTCACATCCGCACCTGTGTCTGTCAAATACATGTTCAATGAGTCTCTGCCTCGTAAAAATAGGCGGCGCGTTGCCAGAACGCAGTCGGACGCCGCATTTATCGACCACTCGGTGCGTTTCCCGAACTCGCGACATGATACAGGGAGGAGTACAATTTTGCGCATCATTGCCATACCTGTAATACCAGCAGTAGTATGTTTGTCGGCTTGGTGAGCGTCCTCGGGAGCTACTACGTTGGCGTTGGTGTGATGTGGAGGCGTCGCGCCGGCGAGGAGTCGCAAGAAGAGGGCACCTGTCGAAGCTCACCGATTTCCCGCTGATGATTGTGGATCTGTGTGGTTAAAGCCATGAGTTGTTTGCCCAGAGTGGAGATAATGGACCTCATTTCATGGACGAATGCCGGCTTGCTAGTTGATGAAGTTTAAAGACACAATGTTTAAATATCACGAACTAAGTTTATTATAATGTAAGATTTACCAAGTCTTGAAGAAGTGTAGAGTAAGAAGTATTGTAGAAGTGTTGCTTAAGAAGTGTGTTGAATAACTTATCTTCCTACACCCTTGTCACTCACCAGCAACCCTTCAGGTTGATGGGTGGTGACAAGAAATTTAGAAGTCAGAAGAAAAAGAAAAATGAAATTGAAAAATGTTCACCTACCCGAAATTTTATACTACACAAACAGGCAACGTGGGGTTTCGACCACCCCAACTACATTCTCTACACCCAACCGTCCACAAACGAGCGCCTTTCGCGACTGAATTGTAAACGTCACAGCTATTTATGAAGCTACCTAGAATGCTAAATTGAATATTTAAAAAGTTATGAACCTGCAAACAGGCGCTGGGGTGTTCGACACCTCACGGGCCCAATTACTGGTTAAAGACTGACTGAAATTTCGGTTTCGGCCAAAAATTGGCCGAAAGTTTCGCACCGAACCTCAGTGTTCGTGAATTTTTTTATAGTTTAATTTTGAAGTGACACACGATAGAGGTTTGAGGAAATTCTCAACCAAACGTAGATATGTTCTAAAAGTTCCCAAAACCAAAAATTTCCAATCTATTTTCAATTAAAAGACTTTATTGCTTTATTGCTACTCTTGTAAACAATTTTATTACACCATTCCTTAAATCGTTAAGTCTTGAAATTTAAATTACATATTTTTATGTAAGTTACACTTTCGGCTGAAAAACCAGTTTCAGTCGAACTCTCAGTGGAATACAATTACGGTAGCATGACCGCAAATTTGGCTAATTTAAAAACAAATAGCACAAGTGCAAGTAGCACTACAGCGCAACACCGACTGAGTGGACAAGACAGGTGCCTGGCTACCTGCAGATACTCACACGCAACCCCCTTCAACTCCGTGATACAGAAAACGACTCAATGTTGTCGCTACTTGCTTGCTCTTACTTACGTGATTACTTTACTTGACTTTTAAAATGAAAAATATAAAATATAGTTAAAATAAAATAAATGCATTTATTTCTATAATTTATATTAACATCAATATAAAATATAAAATTGCATAATATAATGTAAATGAAGGAAAATTTTGCTTGCTTCTTTTTTAATTGGTTCATTGCGGTATTTTTATTTAATTGAGATGAATATTGTTGCATTCTAAATCGTACATAGTACGTGATAGCCGATAATAGTAATAATTCTCCAACATGAACAGTTTGTTTAAACTTCTCTTTTAAATTTGCAATATTTTTAGAAGGTTCTGTCTGTGACATTTGAGAGTATATGGATTTGAGCTGAAATATAGTAATCAGAGATTCTTTAGATATTACAGTGCAATTCCCAGTTTTGGGAGATTTTAAAATATTAAATGTTGATAAGATTATATCAATAAGAAAAGTTGGAAATGTGGGATGATCGATGATCCACTTGCTTGCTTACTGTTCCAAAATGCTCTATAAAATATAAGCAGAGAAGTAATGCTTCTTCTATCGGCTTAATTTAGCTTCATTTTTTTAAACTTCTATTTCTGACTGTCGTTTTAATATTTTGCCGTGTTTCTTCTTCTTCTTCTTCTTACTCTCATCATAGGCAAAATTTGCCTGTTCTTCCATCACTGTGGTCTGCCAAGGAGAGCTATAGGATCGCTCTATCGCTTTTTGGGCCTCCCGACACTCCTTTTTCCTTTAGGCGAGTGGTCTCGAGCTATTCGAACTAGCCTGGTAGTGTCCATTCGATCGACATGGCTGCGCCACATTTGTCTTCGCTCTTCTACCCAGTTATTAATAGGTTGTATCTTGATAATTGCCTCAAGCTCCGAGCCTCCTCTTATTCTGGAGTGTTTCATTGTTGATTTTGCGAATGCATGCGAGACATTTCTACGCTCAAGTATATTCTGGGTTGTAGATGTCACAGGGCGGGTTTCCTGCTGTGTACGGGAAATCGATCTAATGACGGTCTTATAAAATGCGTGCCTTGCGTCGATATGCAGGTGAAGCTTATTTTAAAAATTAGTCCACGACAACCTGTAAATTCTTGACGCCTTCATGGCTTGTGTACTGACGCTTGCTTCTATATCTCCGAACGCCGAGATCCAACGCCGAGGTAATTGAAATTCATAACCTGCTGGAATGACTTGCCCATCTACTTCTAATTTGCATCGTATTGGGACCCCGATGTTGTCATGCATTTTGTTTTCGACGTTGATATGACCATGTTTAACTGTTTCCATGTCTGATTAAAATGTGTGTAGTAATTTTTGAGGTTGTCTTCACTTTCCGCAACAATCACTGGCAGGTCATCAGTATAACAGATTAATATTGAGATGTTTTAGTGCCGTGTTTCGCGCCGTGATTTTGCTAAGCGTCGCTTTAGTTCGTGCAAAGTTTGTTTTTGGGTGCCCTGGGGCCGTCCCAATGAATATGATTTTTACAAATTTTGCAAACAGCTTTGATTAATCGATAATGCTTTTTTCAAAACAGCCAATGGTAAAAGCCAATCAGAATTTTTCGTGACCTCTTCCCGTTAATGCGCAATGTAAGTACTCTCTCACCGCGTCTTTACAACGGAAATGGTCCATCATATGGTGGTTGTAGCCCACCCTGACCGCATCACGATCGTACGAACACCTGCTCGCAATCCTTCAGAGTCAGTAGTGGAATATTTTCTCTCCATACCGGGATAGCCTGGTTGGCGACAGAACGCGAAATTGTTCCCTCAGGTTCTTAAATAATGAATCTGTTTCGAAGTCCGGCGAACCTGTCACTGCTTCCCATAAACCGCTGAAAGGTGGGCGTATAGTTTGGTCCGAAACCATTCCTTGCTGGTGTGCGTGGTTTGTACTTCCTCCTTCCAAGCGCATTTCGCAGACCACGAATAATTGGAAAGGTTTTAGTCCATGATGGATTACGATGGCACATCAGAGCTCCTTTTCAATTATATAGTGTTGTGTACAAACTTGTATTAGTGATTTCGGTTGAGATTATGAAAATAAGGCTGCTTAATAGTGGTGGTCTGGTTTCCGGTGTTGAGTCAATGGGAGATGCTGGAATTAACTGTATGTAGATGTTGTTAGATCCCAGGTCTCCCGCTTTTGAATGTGTAGAGTTGAAATTTTAAAGAAGTGAGAGTTATTATTTAACGTCAATAAAATCCAATGTTGCTTAGTTTTACATAAAGAACTACCTCAACGACGTAAATAAACTTAACTAACCGACAAAACACACAAGGTAGCTAGAAAGCCCCTAAGTCACTTGTGACCGCTGCGTACACAACGCCACTTGAGCAGCAGCGCAAAACTCAACAGAATGAATGCGTGGAGTGGCACGGTCGGTTGCGCACTCGAAGGCCTGAAGGCCTGAAGGCTCGGTCGCTCGGGTGGTCGACCGCTTATACCCTAGGAGGTCTAAGTTGGTGAGAAGTACCTGAGGGTTGTAGCCGAACGTCGTAGATTAATTGTTGTGGCGTTGAATGTCTGGGAGAAGTGGTTAGAGAGCAATGTGGGACTGTATTTAGACACGTGATCTGAAAATAGAATGATGCAATAGGCGGCTTCCGCGCCAGTCAGTCTGTTCGCAGGGGTGGTACAGGACGTGGGCCCGGAAACGTTGACCGATTCGGGGTCAGGGACTAAGATGACAGATACCGAAATGAGCTAGGCGTGTTCGGTCCGAGAGATGGTGCAAGTATCGAATGAGCATAGCGTGGTCGACCTGAGGCAGTGGTGCAGGTATCGAACGAGCGTAGCGTGTTCGATTGAGGTTAGATCTGGACAGGTAGCGTTGGAGGCACGCTGTTGACCAATGCTTCCAGAAGCCGTCGAGGGCTTGGCGAACAAGTTGCCAACGAGACAGTCGGTCCGGTTGTAGATGGTCCAGCGAGGGTTCTGGCAACACGTTGGGGGCCTTGCCTATAAGAAAGTGTCCGGGTGTGAGTGCCTCGAGGTCTTCAGGATCCTCGGTCAGTGGACAGAGTGGACGAGAGTTCAGCGTCGCTTCGACTTGTGTAAGGAAGGTGGTCATCTCTTCGAAGGTTCGTTCGCCAACGCTGCGCCGGAGGTGATGCATGACAGATTTAACCCCGGATTCCCATTTTCCGCCAAAGTGGGCAGCAGAGGGTGTGTTGAATTTCCACTGGGTACCAAGAGATCCAAGGAGGTTGCCAATCTCCATTGATTCCTTGGTGGCGGCGGTGAACAGTCGACGGATTTCCTTATCTGCACCTTTGAAATTAGTACCGCAGTCGCTGTTGAAGGTCGCGCAGATTACTCGACGTGCGGTGAACCGTTTGTAGGCAGCGATGAATGCGTCGGATGTGTAGTCGCTGACCAGCTCCAAGTGTACTCGTACAGCTGATGTAGAAAGGCAGACGAACAATGCAAAATAGCCTTTGTAGGTCTTGGTGTTTCTTCCCTTCCATGTTTTGATGTTGAACGATCCGGCGTAGTCAACACCGGTGTGGTCGAATGCCCGTGATTGCGTGACTCTGGGAATTGGAAGCGGTGCCATGAGTTGCTGGGCACGCTCTTGTAGGAAGCGGGCACAACGTACACAGCGGCGTATATGGGACCGGACTGGCGCTCGACCGCCAAGTACCCAATAGTGATTGCGAGTGTAAGCCAGGGTGAGCTGGGTGCCGCCGTGTAGGGTTCTGCGGAGTGCGTCCAGAATGATCAGATCAGTGAAGTGATGGCGTCGTGATAGAATGATCGGATGTCGTGCTTCAGCATTGAGATTGAAGTTTTGAAGACGTCCGCCGACGCGAAGAACTCCAGCAGGGTCGACCCAGGGCGTTAATCTGGCCAGTGGATGGCTCTTGCCGAGTTGCTCGCCCTTTTTCAGGGACTGAATTTCCAGCCAGAATAGTTGTCCTTGAACATGCTTTGTCCAATAGAGTCGAGCTTCTTCCAGGTCGCCAGGCGAGATGGGGTTGATCATCAGTGAAGCTGACGGCTGTTTCTTGAATCTTGAAACGGCTCGATCAAATATCGTCGTGTGATTCCTCACTCACGCTCTGTTGAAGAGGTGATTAAGCAGCGGCTCCGGTATCGACTATGATTACGTGGACTTTTGTGGATGGCTCTTCTAGCATCTCATGCGTGAAGTCGGCTCGCACGTCACTCGGCCAGCAATCTGGGGCCTGCAGAAGGTATGAAGGTCCGTTCCACCACAGCGGGTGGCTGATTAGTTCTGCCACCGTTAGGCCGCGGGTAGCACAATCCACTGGATTTAGTTTTCCAGGAACGAAGCGCCATTGAATTGCAGATGAAGCCTCTTGAATGAAGCTCGCTCGATTATGGACGAACTCCTTCCAACGTGAGGGATGATTGTTAACCCAAGTGTATGTGATGGCGGAATCAGTCCAGCACTTGGTACGGTGCGCGCCCCAATTCATCGAGGCGCGAGGAGCACGGCTGCACAGAGCTCGAGTCGTGGGATGGTGAGACGCTTAAGTGGTGCAACCTTGGTCTTCGAGCGCATCAACGTGATGGTAGGGGCCCCGGTCACAGTTGCTCGCACGTAGATTACAGCTGCCATAGCCTTTTGAGATGCGTCGCAGAATCCATGGATCTCGAAGGTTGAGGTGGCGGGGAGTTGGAGCCACCGTGGAATGGAAAGCTGTTGCAATTCTCGAAGCTGGTTCAGGTACTGGATCCATGTCTGAGAGGTGTCATGGGAAAGCTCGTCGTTCCAGCCCAATTTGTGTGTCCACAATTCTTGAATGAATATCTTTGCAATAATGACCATGGGGGTGAGGAACCCTAATGGATCGAAGACTTGGGCGACGGCAGATAGTATTTTCCTCTTGGTAACAGGAGCGTCCACGGCCATTGCGATGGTGAAGTGGAAGGTGCCAGCCCTTGGCTGCCAGGCCAGGCCAAGCGCGTGGACGGCTTGGACAGCGCTTCAAGTCGCTTTGCGGGAGGCACATCTGACAGTACGTCTGGGTGGTTGCTGTTCCACTTTTGGATTGGGAACCCGCTCGCCATGCTGCGGTCGATGATCTGCGCTATCTGGGCCTTTGCTTCATCGACGGTGTCGGCTCCTCCGACGATGTCATCAACGTAGCGACCCCGTGTGAGCGCCGGAAGAGCGAGGGGATACTTGATGCCATCGTCAATTAAAAGTTATTGAAATGCGCGAAGGGCGAGGAAGGCTGCACACGCTAATCCGTAGGTGTTCGTGGTCAGTTCGTAGGTGGTTAGCTGATTACCGACAAGCCAGAGAATGCGTTGAAACTTCCACTCCTCAGGGTGGACCTTTATCTGGCGATAAAACTTCTCGATGTCCCCAGAATAGACGTAGCGGTGGAGTCGGAAGAAGAGGAGCACGTCAAACAAGTCAGTCTGGAGCTTCCCACCGGAGTGGAGAAGGTCATTGAGGGATTTGCCATTGCTGGTAGCGCAGGATCCGTTGAAGACCACGCGGAGTTTCGTGGTTAGGCTGCTCTCTTTCAGGACCCCGTGATGTGGCAAGTAATAGGCGAAGTCAGGCTCTGGGGCACTCCATGGGACTGGAACAAGATGTTGTAGAGTTTCATACTCCTGTATGAAGTCAGCGTATAACTGCTTGAAGGCGGGGTTTGAGCGGAATTTCTTCTGCAGGCAGTACAGCATTCGTAGAGCTTTTGGTTTTGAATTGCCGAGTTGACTTGGAGTTGTCTTGAAGGGTAATCGGACCACGTAGCGGTCATCCTTGTCCCTGGAGTGAGTTGTGAGGAAATGGTCCTCACATTCCTCTTCGGCTTCGGTGAGCTTTGAGTTTGGGGTGCTAAGGACTTCGTCGAGCGTCCAAAACCGTTGAAGGCTTGCATCTAAAACGAGGTCGATTTTAAGGTGGAGCGTTGTGCACCATGGCTGCCGTGTTGGAATTGCCGGAGGGTCCGGAGACTATCCAAAGTTATTCATAAACCGCACCTAGGTTTCATGCCTTTAATCGGCGTGTTTGGCGATAACTCCAAACATCTTCACGGCCCAGTATTACTAAGCCGTGTTTTACCAGTGTTTTTAATGCATCCTAGATATCTAGTCGACTGATACATTAGTGCACACTAGTCAAAGCGACTATCTACCTTACGCCGCTACCCCCACGACTTCCCCTCCTTTCGAGGACCGTCCATAACCCGGGACTTTCTGGGTAACCCATGGTAACGGTTTGTTATTTCAATTGCGCGCCGCTCGCGCAAATCATGAATCGCGACGCCCGCCGACTGCGCGTACATTCACTACCTGTTAGTCCTGTGCGTACAAACAGCTCCAGGTATTGCTAGCGTCGACTACATAAGTTTGCCAAAACTTAATACATTATGGGTAATTCTTGATTTTAAGGCCAGAAACATCCAGCCAGGTAGCCTATGTCGCGTAGGGTGCCCCAAGAAGTTGCGAAACCTCTTTCCAGAAACATATACTCCGATGCCTCAGTGTCCATGGTTCGCCATTATGTGAGTAATGCCAAAGCATTTACCCACTTCGGCTAAGTTCCTTATGGTATAATGCAAATATTTAGAGCATTCGGTCGAAACGAATAAGTTCTAAGTGAATCTTATTGCAGAAAGTCTCAAGCTCTGAGTACATGTTTGCGCTTCTAATCTCTTCCCAGTCGCCTGTTTGGAGAATGCGCAGTAGTTCAACGTGCGTTGCACGATGTACTTCGGTTTGTGCACATCGGAAAACCGTGTGGGCTACCGTTTGTGTTTCAATATTTGCACAGGGACAGAATCATGTGTCGACACCCATTGCCTTTGCCAAGTGTCGTACACATCCGTCTCTATTTCTCTGCGGTGATCAGCCGAGAGTTTGGTTCCGGTATCTAAGCGAACAATAAATTGCATCATGTGCTTTCTAATTAATAATTCGGCGGGCAGAACTCCACATAGTAATGGTAGTAGGTGCCCCGGCGTAGTTGAATACGCTCTTGCTATTGCAATCAACGGTTTCCTTTGAGCGCTTTGGAGCCTTTGAATATGCTTTGCATTGAGTCTTTGGCCCCATGTCGAGCTACAATATCTAAACATGGGTTCAATTACTGATCGATAGATCAGTTGTTTGGTCCTTCCGGTAAGTGACCCCTTCAGCTTGGCCATCCGAGCAAAAGCAAAGAATGTCTTTGTGGATGTGTCGCAAATTTTGCCGACATGCGCATTGCTGCGTAGCCCCTCCTCCAGCAACACCCCTAAGTACAGAAACTGTTTGACACTAGCGATGCTCTTTTCCCCCAGTTTGATTTCCGGAGGTCGTTTCATGTCAAGTTTACCTTTAAGCAACATGATTTTCGTTTTTGGGGCTGACACTTCTAACTTGTTGTGCTTGCACCATCGATCCAGCTTATCGACTGCCCCTTGTGCTTTGATTTCTAGCTCTTTCCTAGAATTGCCTGCTATGAGAATGACTCTGTCATCTGCATAGTCAGTTTGTTTGTCGCCCAACTTTTCGCAGTCGTCAAAAACTAGGTTCCATAGTATGGGGCGTAGTACCGATCCCTGCGGGCAGCCTTTTGTAACCCACTTTTTCACACTTTTATTCTCTTTATGCATGACAATCCTCCCCACGAATTAGTCTTTGAGGATGGCATACAAATTCTGTGGGCCGTACAAATTCTGTCGGTGCCGTAGTGACTTGAAGATTGCGGGCCACCACAAATGATCAAAAGCGCCGCTTATATCAACAAAAACGCCCAACACGTACTTTGCGTCAGATTCATCTACGTACTTGTACAGTTCATGAACTGCATGTTCAGTAGACCTGGCGGCTGTAAAGCCGAACTGAGTTGGTGATGTCATGTAAGACAGCTCTTTGCCCATCTTCATCACTATAAGCTTCTCGAGTATTTTGCCTAGCACAGCTAGGAGGCAGATAGGCCTGTAACTTTTTGGCAAACTAGGGTCTTTATCCAGTTTTGCAAGTATAACTAGGAGGCCTAGTTTCCATGCGTCTGGAAATTTACCTTTTACCAAACAGGCGTTGAATAATTCGAGCAATTCCTCTTTAATGTTAACATACACGGCCTTGATTATTTCAGCAGTAATGCCGTCGTAACCAGGGGCCTTTCTGTTCTTAAGGCTTGCGATGGCCGTATCAAGCTCTTCCCCGTTGAATCGCGTGCATTTCTTTGGGTTTCTGTACGAATGTACTTTTTCCCGCAGTTCTGCCTGCTCATCTGAGTCCAAGTTTGGGTCATCGTCCGCAATAAGTGGGTTCACGATCGTTTCGAACGTTTCCCGCTTGCGTGCTAGTGTATGTACCTTCTTTATTGTGGACGGTGCACAGTGCAGACCGGGGCTTCAGCTTCCCAATTTCCATTTTATAATAAAACCCAAAAGTCAAACCCTTTTCAACTTTCAACAGTTTTTGCAACCAGCAATTGCCCGGTATGCCGGGCCTTCCTGATCTCATGTCGGTATCTATTTCGAAGTTCACTGTATTCTTTCTTTCGCCTTTCTTTCAGCTCGACGGCGCTAGTTCTCTGCAGCTGCCCTCTCTTCCGGAAGACCTTCAAACGAAGTTCATCCAGTTGTTTAGACCACCAGGGATTCGTTATACGTGTTCGAAGTTTTACCTTCGGCACGCAAGGTAAAGCGGATATTAATGCAGATTCTAGCCTTTTAGCGAGATGTTCGGGATCTTCGCTCTTTTCAATTTGGGTAAGCATTTCGAGAGTTTTCTCATTGTACTTGTCCCAGTCCATCTTAGAATACTTGTATTTATATACCGCCTTCTCGGTATTGACATGACGTTTGTTGCCTAACTGAAAATGGATTGGTCTATGATGGCTCGTGCACCATTCTGCGTCTTCAACCACCCACGAGTGGGCATCATTCAGCGTCTTCAACCACCCACGAGTGGGCATCATTCAATGCTAAAGCACTTACGAATGTTACGTCTAGATTTGATTGGCCATTTGGGCCATTGAAAGTACAATGGTGGCCAGGTTCATTCAAAATGTAATAGTTGTGTTCTTGGATGAGATTTTCATCCTGAGATCCGGCATGACACGATGGATGTGTCACAGTTCCAGAGAATCGATCTGGCGTTCAAGTCCGCTGATATTATGACTTTCTCACCTCGGAGCCTTTTCATAATATCAGCTAATTTTGAGACATAGTGTTGGCGGTCGTCACCGAACTGCCAATACATACTCACGAGGACGTAGGAGTTTCCCCCGTGATCAATACGGACGCACACAGTGTGCGAATCCGATATCTCTGATAGGTGTAAAACACTAATCTCATGGTTAGCTACAATAATCGCAGCTTTGGCTTTACCTTTTCCTAAAACTTTCATAGTTTGCATCGAAAAGGGCATGCCATGTGCATTCACATACGGTTCTTGGAGAAGAAGCAGGTCAAACCCATGCGTCTCCATCCTTTCCCGTATCTCATCCAGAACAACTTTTGCTCCTCCACAATTGAGCTGTAGGACGTTTAACATTGTAAGGCTGTAGCGTTTGCCAACTCGTAGTCACCTACGTAGCCAACTTTACCTATATATTGCCTTCGGGCAATCTGATAGCTTGGGCAGACTATCGTATTCTTCACATTGTGCGAGTGTGTTCGGCCTGCTGCCTTGCACCCACTAAAACCCCTTTCGACTTGGCGGAAGGTACCTTGCCTTGGGATTGCCTTCCGGCATTTCTTCAAGGCAGGCCGCCCGGATGCACCTGGAGCGTGCACCCTAGTTGTTGGGTCTATCTCTTACTTCTCTCGTGATCCTTTCCTTCTCCCGTTCCTCTTCTTCCTTTGTGTTTAGGATGACGTGTATTAGATCTTCTATTATATTCCAGTTTTCTTCGCTCTGCAGCATTTTCTTCAGGATGTTTAGTATCGTAAGTTTCCCGCATATCTTTTCCGTGTCCTCCCTGGCCTTGCGCCATCTTTTGCATTCCAAGATGGTGTGTTCCATCGTGTCAATTTCCCCGCAGTCTGCACACTTGTCATCCTCTGCAATATGGAACCACTTCAGGTAGGCTCTGAAACATCCGTGCCCGCTCAATACCTGTGTCAGGTGGAAGTTAATGTTTCCATGCCTGCGGTTTACCCATTCGCTTATGTTTGGTATTAGCTTCTTCGTGATTTCAGCTTTCCCCGTTGTTTTGTCCCATTGTTCCTGCCAAGCCTGCATCTGCTCTTCCTTGTTCCACTTGTTCGTTCTGCCTGTTAGTATGGTGAGGGTATTGTGCCCGCAATCACTGCCGCTGCATTGCTGATATTAAAAGTGATAGGTACAGCACACCTTGCCGACATCGCTCGCTGGATCCGTTAGCATACTTTGTATTTGGTTTTGTCTAGATCCTACCCAAATTTGCACCCATACATCACGATGGAGGCACACAGACGCTGTAATACAAGTTTCTTTTTCCGCAGGTTGGTCCACGAACGTTGGGCATTATCCGAGATAGCAGCTGGCCGTACGGTTCGCCTTGTTGCATGTTTGAAAGTGAGGTGTTTTCAAACACATGTTTTCCTCTCCCTGAAGTAGACCCCCAGGTATTTTATGGCTTCTGATGTTTGTATGGTTACGCCATCGATGTTTAATTTCAGGTGCTGCACTTTCCTTCTTCCAGCCAAGTACTACTGCTTCCTGTTTTTCCTGGGCCAACTTCAGTTGTTTTTTTTGCAGGTTCTTTTTACAGATCGCATCGTGTCCTCCAGTTTTCTTTTAAGGCCATCTCCAGTCTTATCCACTGCAACGATAGCTAGATCTATCTGCGTATGCTATGAGGGACACCTCGGGTTCTACAGGTATGCGCAGCACGTCATCGTAGTAAACATTCCATATAGATATGGGCTTGTGATTGGTCCTGTGGGAGCCGCACGTTACCGGGAAAGTGCTACTTCCGGCCACTATCTTCTTTGTTGAAGTAGCTTTGTATAATGTTTATTAACCATGGTTTAACCTTCCTGTCTCTGGTAGCACCTTTATAATCCTATCCTAAGGTGCACGTTAAATGCGTTTCTATATCTAAGGTGACTCAGTGCGCAGACTTTCCTCTTTTGCTGTATGGCCCCGTGTTTGTTCTATCCGCCATTTGGCATATACTTTTTGCATGGCTTGCACTGTGGTTTTGCCTGACCTTTCCCCAAGTTTAAATTCGAGCGTGCTTCGACATGCCTCTTCAACCAGGGATTGCAGCTGGCTCCATTTGTTTGCGGCCGAGTCCTTGTCTTTCTCCAATTTTTTCGCTAGTTGTTTGAGCTTCTTACTTAGTCGGTCTTTATTTTTTCTTGATAGGCGCCATGGATGACTTGGGGATAGCTTTGTGTTGTTTGATGTTTGTTGCATTAGGTCTATTTCAAAAGTCAGGTAAGGGTGGTCGCTCATACTTTCTATGTCCTCCCGCACCCGCCATTTTTTGACCTGCGCTCTAAAGGAGTCCGTCACGGCACTTACGTCTATGAATGAGAAACGGTTTTTGCATTCCCAGGTCGGAACTTTTCCGTCGTTCAGCACGGTCATATGTTCTTGATGGATCAGCTCGCTGAGAGCGTCGCCTCTTTTATCCGTTCGGGTGCCTCCCCATAAGGGCGAATGGGCGTTAAAATCCCCTAGTACTATTTTGCTTGTTTTGTGGGCATTTAGTAGCATCTGTAGTTTCAAAAGGTAGTTGGAGAATACCTCGTATTGTACATTAGGGGATATGTAACATGCAACAATCATAATCCCGTTTACTTTGATCCAGGCGATTCCTTCTTGGCTTCCTGTTTCGTGCGGATTTAAGTCCGCCCCGCAAATTTTTATCGCCACATCTAGGTTGGTGTCAGCATACCAGCCCTTTTTGGTCACCTCCTTTTTTTGGGGTTCCATTATTACTACAATGTCGATTTCCAGTTCCCTTATTGTTTGCCACAGGACATCCTGTGCGGCCCTTCTCCGTCCGATGTTGCACTGTAGTAGCTGTATTTTCATCTTTTTTGGGCTTATGATTTGGTTACGCTACACCCTCCGCTCATCGTGCGGTGTCCTTCAGACTTACACCCTACGCAGTATGCGGGATTTTGACACTCTCTAGCTTGGTGCCCTTCCATTGCGCAATTGTTGCACGCATTTTTCCTGTTTGGGCCTTTGCAATGTATGGCTATGTGGCCTATCTCCCAGCAGCGATAGCATCTATCTTCCTTCGTCAGGACCCTGCAGTTTGTCACTCCAATCTTCACAAACTTTAGGCTGGCTAGGTGTCTTGCTCGCGGATCTAGCACTCCAATTAGGAAGGTTTGGCTTCCGTCTCTTCTTTTCCTTATCTTCTTAACTCTTACATCCGCGGGGCCCTGTCCGGTTTGGAGACATATTTCCTTTATTACTTCCACCTCCTCGATGTCTTCGTCGATATCTCGAATCTCGAAAGTGTGTGTCTTCCGGTCTTCTATTCTGCTGATCATATTTGGCCCAACTTTATCTCCAATTGCTCTAGAGATTTTATCCGTTGTGGATCTATCTTTAGGCATAGTTACTAGCATGTTGCCGGTTCTCGTCTTCCTTATCCCGCACAACGCAACATCTGGCCCTAGCTCTTTTACCCCGCTGCGAACCTTCTTCAGTAGGTCCGCGTAAGTTGTCTGTTCAGCTTGGATTATCAGAGCATCAGTATTTCGTGGCTCCTGTTTGATTCTTTTCACATCCCTTTTAGCCCTATTGACTATTTTGGAGCCTATTATTTCTATAGTCATGCTATCTTCTTTTTTTAGAACGATTTCGGCGTTCTTCCGAAGTCGCTCTACGGTGATGCCTGTGATTCTGGGGATAGTGATTTTTTTGCTTCCGTACTGCTTACATAAGTTGAACAGAGACTCCAGATGTCTCTGTATCGCTTCGTTAGTCGTATCTGTAAGTAAGGTACCGTAGATATTTTTTTGAAGCTTTTCTTCTTTGTCCTTTGACCTCCACGATGCGGTGTGCGAAAGCACCTCCCATTTGCCTTCTTCCAGTTCTATGTTGGTGAACTCCGGAAATTTTTGTGCTACTTGCTTGTGGATGCCTTTCCCCATTTGCTGCTCGTTCTCGTTTAGGAGAACGGCAACATTGTGATCTGTTTGATACAGGAATTTTGTCTCTCTAATAGCAGTTCTCCGATACATTTCATCAGGCCACGGCATGTTAATGACTCCGTCCAGGTCTTGCGGTGTTTGTGCCGCCACTATGGCACTTTCCACTTCCTGCAGTGTTGGTATTCTCGTTTCTTTTTCCTCAGTTTGAGTAGACTGGGAGCTTCTGTTCTGTTTTGTTGCGCGGAGTTCCTCTGTAAGTCGTTGGATCACTAGGTCCCTTTCTGCCAGTGCTTGCTCCATTGAGGTTAATTTCTCCGACATCTCCTCGATTTCGTCTTCAAGCTCTTGGGTTTCCAGTTCTACCCTCTTTGTCTGTCCTTCTATATTGATTACGAGATCCTTTATCTCCTTTTTGGTGTTTGTACACTTCGCTACTGCTGTTTTTAGGAGCTCCACTTTGTCTACTAGTTTGTGGATTGAGGAAGACTGTTTCTTCTTGCCATCTCCCCGTTTAGCGTTTGGTTCGCTCCTTGTCCTGCGCAGTTCCATCCTTTGGCGCTTTGCCGTTTGTTTTACCTCTGGGCTGCTATCGTATTCTAGGTTTATCACCTTTTCATTTAGAATGTTTGTTTTGGTCGTTGGGAAGATATCGTCTTCAATGTACTGAGTACTGTGATTCGGTGGCGTTCTCTGTAGGCTGCCTCTTCTTTGAAACGGGTCTATCATGTCGTACAGGTCCTTCTTTAGCAAATTGTTGCCCCCCTCAGAATCCGAGGTTGGGGGCTGCCCGGCTGCAACACAATCGTGTGCCGCGCCGGGGTGGGATTCTCCGTTGCCGGTACCCACCTGAGTATTTCGTTGCACAAATTTACAATTTCTATTTGATCAAGATTCCTTTTTTCATTTTCGACTGTGTATTCATACCTATGTCATACGTGAACGTGGTCGTTCAGAATTATTCTTGCTTTTGAAATTAAATATGGACACATATATACAACATTTTAGATGGAACTTCATTGACAAACTACGAGTATTAGCTACCACAAGTTTTTGAGGTGGTTTTGAAGTACGTTTTTACACTATGATTAATCAAGTATTTTCTCCTGACTTAAGACCTCTTCAGCCAGGGCCCGTAAATAATAAATTAAATAGATCAGTTTTTAACCGTGCTTGCAGCGGTACAATTTATTTTCTCTTTGCCTCCATCACTATGTGAGTAATAAACGCAGTGTCAACACACGTAAACTTACATTATTATATATTTCCTGCAACAATATATTTTATACTTTTTTGATGCGATCATTGTATTTCTTGTATATGAAATTTAATTTAATATGAATAAAACATTTTTGAAATATCATTTAAAGTCATCGGCTCATGTTTGTATTCTCTCAATACAATTAGGTATACTTGTTAAATGAGATATATTATCACTAAGCCTGATGATACCTGCAATATCTTCTTCAAAAAATGATGCTTTAATATGCTCTAACAAGCAATCTGGAAACATTCGGTGTTTTATCAGATTTCTTCAGACATTCATAATTACTTGTGTACTATTCGTAACATGGTCGAGCCATTCTTTTTCGTTTGATTCAACATAATGACAAATTCTGTACAACACGTGTCTAATTTCGTGATATATCTGTTTAAAGAGTACTCAATTATGTCTGTATGTTCATCACACCATCACTAACTTAATTTTTTGATGGTTTTGTTTTATTCTTTACGTGTATCAGAATCTTTTGAAACAAATTAATATGTTAGTCAGTTCTTTTTGTGATATAAGGGGAAAGTCGGCTTAAGTCGTACCGTCACGTAAGTCGTACCTCGGTCTTTTCTCCTAACTTGAAGGCACTTTTACGGCTTAAAATGCTGTATTCGGACACCATGAAATCATACTACTGAAGCTTTTGTATTCTTTAATCAGTTCCGCCGAATCAGTATTGAGAGTTATGCAAAAATAGTTTTGCTCCTCGTGCTTTCATCAATTTCTCGTGGAGCTTGAAAGCATTGGTGGTCAGAAAAACACCACTAAATATGTGTTTCATGTTAAATATTGAGTTTATACATCTATCCATGTATTGTTTTCCATGGATTATGTTAAAATAATCCTTCTGATATATTGTTTAAGGTTGTTTAAGCAGGAAGCACATGTTTTGCTAACTCGTACCCCTTTGCGTTTTTAAGTCGATACCTGAACATGTGGGACTCAAGGTTTCAGCTGCGCCACGAGGCGGCGCTACGGTTGCCGCGCCAAAGATACTTTACTAGCGTGATGAGAATGAGGAATGTAGTATGATTCGGTGCCTCAAATGCAAAATTTGGATGTACGACAAATGTGTTGGGGTGTCCAAACGAGTATAAAATACCTTGCAAAATAAAATACATTATTATTAAACTAATAATATATTCTTATTTTGATATTTCTTTGGCATAGGTACGACTTAAGGGGTATCGAAGGTACGACTTAGGGTACCGGTTTGTTAAGTCGTACCGTTCACATTTATGTTAAATCGATGTTTTACAAGAAAATATAAGCAATTTCTGGAATTAATTTTTTCTCAGGGTAGTGTATTTTAGAGGTACGACTTGGCCAACCTTCCCAATTTGATATAAGTGAATCTCATCTCTTGGAAATTGAAATATTTAAATGTATTGCTGAAGATAAATATGAGCTGAAATACATGGCAATTTAGGGAAGTAATTTTTGTAACCATATCGAACTGGATCTGCATGGAATATAACTTGTTTTACATATGATATAATAATAGTTCATTGTTGAACCCGTCCATTTTCGAAATAGTGTCCATTTGTTTAATTAAATTCTCCAATCTCAATTTCTTCATTTTGGGTAACTCTTTTTTGCTCTATAGATTTGAGGTTTGAGGGCAAAACCGATTTTTTAAGTAAAGTTGCGTTAATAAAAGTAGTAGGATAGGAGAGTTCTGGGATCAACTTTCGGGATCTGTGGGCGTGGCTTTGTTTTGTGATTGGTCGAGTTGTGGGCGTAGCTTTACGCTTCTGATTGGTCTGCATATTTGTAATTAGATCGCGATCTGCGTTCTGATTGGTCTGCATATTTAATGAGAGCGGGATCTGCGTTCTGATTGGTCTGCATATTTAATGAGAGCGGGATCTGCGTTCTGATTGGTCTGCATATTTAATGAAGCAGGATCTGCATTCTGATTGGTCTGCATATTTAACTGCAATATGATTTGGGTGTGGGTGAAGGTGTGCTGTGGGTGCAGCAGGCGTGGCGGGGTTTGTGGTGAGTATATTATGTTGGGTGTGGTTCAACTTCTTTATATGGTATGGTTTTGTTGGGTTAGGTGATGGTACCGCCATTTTGTTTGTGGTGTTACCATCAATTTTGTAGGGTGAATATTATGTTGGGCGTGGCTAGATGAATTTAACTTCCTTATATGGTATGGTTTTGTTGGGTGAACATTAATTACTTAGGTGTGGTGTTACCGTGGTGTGAATATTATGTTGGGTGTGGTTTTGTTGGGTGTGAACATTAATTAGGTGGTCTGCACCGCCATTTTGTTGGTGTCAATCGGATTTTTGTAAAGGTGAATAAAGACAACAACTTTGTGAATAAACTCGATTTATTTTTTAATTACAATATGTGATATGATCATGCTGTTGATGGTTTGAACAATCTCTACGGTGATTTAAATTGTATATAGGGTTTGAACTCAGGATGATCTTTAAATAAAAGAAGTAAATACAACATTTGTTAACAAGAATAATTTCTTTACTTACTTCCAAGAATGACTGCATCGAAATTTCAGTGGGTGAGTGGCATGTGGGGTGATT